ATTAAAATGTATGACAAAACCTAGTGCAGGAGAGGATATAGATCCCAGGATCCTGTGTACATTACCAATGGAAGAGAAAGTTATTTCAAATAATTTATAAAGCTAATTGGCATAATCTCCTAAAATTCAACCTTCATGTAACTTTTGCTGCAACAATTCCACCTATGTACCCATGAGAATCCTTTGCACATTAATAAAAAAAATTCACAGCACTGTACTGCATTGCATGAACCTAGGCATAATCCCAATGTCAACCAACAGTGTGATCCATGAATGAACTGTGTTTCAGTAATGCAATGCAATAGTCTATAGCAATCATGGTCATGAGTAATGATACAGATAAGCTTTATGAAAATAGTATTAAGTGAAAAAATCCCTAATACATTAGAAATCATATGATACTCTTTTAATAGAGTTAAAAGACTAAATGGAAAAGTAAGTAATATTTAAATGATACTTACAGATGCAAATAAAATCTTATACAAGGAAAAGAATGAGTGAATGTGGAATTTAGGATGATGGTTACTTTGGGTGGGAAACTGAGACTTGGGTGGGAGAGGAATGGGTAAGAACTACATAGGAAAATTAATATTATTTTGAATAATGTATCTTTTCTTTTGGGTTTACAGGTGATTACAAATATTTCAACTGAAGGACACCAAGAGTGCAAAAAGCAAAATAAGACAACATAAATTTATTTTTTTCAGAAAATAGAACATGTTAAATATTTAAATAATTTGTGTGAAAAAAGAATATTCAGATGTCAAGAATGAGCTCTTTAAAATTAAACATTTAAATCCCAAAATAGAAATTTCAATATAATGATGGAAAAGCAGAAAGTCAATGACATTTCTGACAAAGTCAGAAACTTGAATGAAATATAATTCTAGATAAGCATTCCCAAAATTTCTCTGGCATATTCTATACACATCTCATTCAGTTTCTATAGTCAACTGTTTCTTCCCCACCCGCTTTCCTATAGATGTTATAAAAGTGAAAACCTAAAATCCCTTGTCTCCCAGGTTGATAGGTTAAAGATGAAAGAAGTTTGTGTCCTGATGACACCTCAGGAAGACTGAACCAGCTCTAGGACTGCCTATCTCTGAACCTCTTATATGAAACAATACCAAAAGGAGGTGCTACAAAAGCAAAGGAAGGGGGTGCTACAAAAGCAAAGCAGAAGTCAAAAATGAGTTCTATGTCAAGTTATACCTATCAATCAAACACGGGAGTAGGATAAAGGCATTTTTAAACAACACAAAAATTGAATTTCCATACATTCATTCTTGGGAAGCAACAGAAGGATGTGCTCTAGTAAGATGAGGTGTGTAACCCAGAAAGTAAATGATGAGAGACCCTAGCAAACAAGGGCCTGACACAGGAGAGCAGCATAGAAGTCCAGAGGATCATCACCAAAAGCCAGTTCTTGGAAAACTGTACAACAGACCTAGAAAACAACAAGACCAAACAAGTACATGAGAGAAAAAGTACAGAAGGCTTCAGAAGGCAGGAGAGAGCCATGCAAATAGAGAGAAACAGGACACACTGGGGCGATACACTAAAGTAACCATGGGTCTCGTGATTGATAAATGTGGAGGATAAAGGAAATAGGACAGTTAAAACATCTCTAGAGTCAAAAGGCACAAAACTTGGTGGTACTGCTGACCCAACCAGAGGAGGGGATTTGGTCATGTTGAGTTTGAGAAGATGACAAATGAAATGTGTGAGGATATTTTCTCCAGGATGCTAGAATGTAACTGTTAGATCTGGGTTGGTTAGTAGCACATCTAAGGGAGTTGATCTACCTATAGATTACATATATCTTTAGATCACTGAATTTCTGAGCATGGCCAGGTTTTCTAAGAGGAACAGGGAAGAGTGGATCAAAGACTGAAGTAATACCCATAATTAGGGGTATTTTCATTTCAAATAGAAAGGGATCTAGACTTCATTAGCCAAGCCACATATACATATACAAATATGTATGATGTCTATAGCATATATACATATATGAATGAGATGTCTATAGCATATATACATATATGTGTATATATATTTTTTAATTAGTGTGGTAAAAACTTAACCAAAGCCAAGAGGAAGTGGTAGAACAGCGATAAAGCCAGATAGCCTCTAGCAAACTGACAAACCAAGAAAACTCTATCATTTTGACATCTCCTCTAAGTAAACAAAATTAAAGCAATATCAACAGTTGTTCATTACCTTAATAATAGCACCTTTTTCTCCATCAACAGGGTTTGATTTGAGTTCCTCAATTTCTTTCTTCATGTCTAAATAACTTTTAAACATTCCAATTCAGAAATGAAAAAAAATAATTACTAAACTGATAAGTACATTCTTTTAAAAACCCTTCAAAATTTACAAGTTAGAATACATTTAAAAAGTAGGCACTTTGAGAAATATTAACTTGACCCATATATAATAGGTAGAGTATTATATATTTTTGACCTTTATTATAGGAAACTTCAAATAGAAAATAGTATGACTGATTTCTATGTACTCATCACCCTGCTTTATCAATTATCACAAAGCTAATTTTGTTTCATCCCCAATAGTACTCATTTCCTCCTTCTGCATTTTTCTTACCTGCCCCTCTAATTTTCTATTTTAATTTCAAACATGGTCTCCCTATGTTGCCAAGSCTGGTCTGAAACTCATGGACTTAAATGATCCTCCTGCTTCAGCCTCCAGAGTAGCTGGAACTATAGAGCATGCACAACTGTGCCTTGCTATCTTGACAATTCTTAAACAAATACTGGACATCATATTATTTCAGTTGTATATACTTCTTACTGTGTAAACTTACAGGAACAATTAACCTCATATTAAGCATAAATATTAACCTGGATATTTTATCAATATATGTATAGTTCTGGCACCTTGAACACCATTTAAAATAAATTATTCTCTTAATTACAAGCAGATTCAACTTCTAAAACATAATTTGACCTTTTCTGATTGAAAATGAGTCTTGGCTTTTAGGCTGGGCAGTTTTAAGTCATTCGAAATTCAAGAGCTTAGCCACTTATACTAATAAAGGATACTAGCATCTATTTCCTTTTGGAAATAGGAAGAAAAGAAAATGGAATGAGAATAAACCAAATTCTACAAATATATACACTTGAGATTTCCAGGGATGGCAATCTTTTATTATTACTTCACTTGAGGACTCTTACTATGTCTTTGGTTTTACAATTTTGTGTCTCTAACATTTCAAATGATTTCCCTAGAAAATACACTTAACTCAGAAGCAATTACAATCTATGTGAAGGAAACAAGTGTTTAACTTTACAAAAAATTTAAAAATAGTCCTTCCTCACTTTATTTTCTGCAATTTAGACATGTGAAATTAAACAACAACAACAACAAACCCACAACAAAACAGAGATAAATGGTTGGAATGTTAAGTAGTGAGATTTCACTACAGTGACTAAGATGCATCTGGAATTACTGGAAAATAAAACCAGGTAAATATACTATTTAAGAACCATCATTTCAAACCAAGATGAATATTTTCAATCAATACCTGTATATCTTGATTTAGCTTTCTGTAATTGCATCATTTGCTTCTTGGTAACTTTTAGGATATCTTCCATGGGCAATGTTTCCAGCTGAAAAATATTACCAACTGGTTGTACCTCATATTTAAAGTATGCAAAAAAAGGATACATACTATCTGCTTAAAAATAAAAATATTCTACTGAGTAAATAGATAAATCTTTAAGTCAATCAAAATCATACTTTGTTCCATATTTTAAAGTTAGCAAATGCAACTTGAACTCAATACTTTTAGTTATTAGGCAAAAATACATAAATATGTGTATACACACACACACACACACACACACACACACACACACACATACACCACTATAAATTAAAGCGGAAATCCCTTGAATAAAGGTTATCTCTTTTAAGTAGGCCTCCTCTCCCCATGTCAATGTTTTCCAGTTCATACCTTTCCACTCTTCCGGGAGCCTGCTAGTCCAATATTCTCTTCGCCTTCGATTTCCCAGTCCTAGTGATAAGTAACAGACAGAGGTGAGCAATGGGAACATGAGGTTAAGGCTATAATTCTAAAGACTGTGCCCAGTGTGCTGACCCTCACAGCTGTCTTTAAAAAGCAATTTACCTCCAGCTTTGACTGGCTTAAGTCCATAGGTTATATTACATTCCTCAGCAAACATCCTGTTGTCTGCAGGAGAAATGCAGTCATGAACTGCCAATAAGAACACTAGGGACCCTGAAGGAGGGGGTCTTCTGTGACCCTTACAAACACTGATTTCCAGAACTCTGGGGCATAAGGATAATCCCCATCAATCATAAAATCTATAAGAACAGTTTCTATTAGAATCCACCAGCATGAGCTAAAGTGACTTAGAGTGGCCTTAGATATTTACTTGAAAGTCTGATGCCATACTGTGATTGGTCAGTCAAAAGCCAAGAGGAGGCCTATATAGGACTCTGGAAACTTCCCTGGGATCCTCCAGTAAAACTGGAGGACAGGAAGGCCAAGAGGTCCTTCTCTTTTCTGAAATGACCTACTCTTTCCCCTGAATGTCCCCCTTTCCCTTTTACTATTCCTTCTAATAAACTCATATCTGCTATTCAGAGCAACATCTGAAATCTTTGTGGTGCGACCACAGGAACCAGTGAGGGGGCCCTCAGCCTGCCTGGGTTCTGTGACAGGCCCTTCCTCTGAACATCAGGGGTGGCTGAAGAACAGGTTTCTATAAAACAAAATCAAACCCAGGTGCTGGAAGAACTCTTTTCCTAACCCCATACGTAAGGCTAGAAACCCTTTCAGGTCAGAAACCTTTTGGTGAGGAGAAAACCCTTCTGGTGAAAAAGAAGGGTGGGTTGTAGCTGTGGCAAATCGCATGGGGGCTCTAATCGCGGGGGACTCAGTTTGGGGAAGAGGTGGTGCGTGGCTCCTGAACCCTCCCACCCGTCCCCACCCACGTCCCCAATTGCTGAGCCAGACGCCCAGCGGAGACTTTGGGCCGGGCCCCAGCCTGCCTGTACGGCCACAAACCTGGCCTCCCGGCCTCCCCGCATCCCAGCACCCCCGTCCGCGGACACATCCTTCCGACCACCTGTGGCGGAGTCTAAGTCTAAGGTAACCTCGGTGGCGGTTCACAGGCTGCGCTATTTGGGGAGCCCCGTAAGGCCACAGCTCCGCAGCCCCAGCATTCTGACCTCTGCCGCTGGGGTTGCCTTGCGCCCCGCCCCGCTAGTGGCCGCTCAGCCAATGAACGGAGGGTGGGACCGGGTTTGCGCTTCGCCGGCACGAAGACCCTGGCTCTGGGTCGCAAACTCGGAGTGTGTGGGTCTGGTGGCTGCCGTATATTGTCGATGGGAACATGGGGAGACTACCCCTTCGATGCATTGGTTTCCCATCTGCAAAAGCATGTCAGGGTGATGAGAATCGATGCCGCAGGACAGGTAAACCGGGACAGGTGCTCCTGTCCCCTTGCTCTGAGGGGACCGTCTCCAAGGGCCTGCCAGGCAGATGGCTGCTGGCCAGGGGTTTTAGGCATATGACTGTTGCCAAGCGTGGTGCTCCATGCCTTCTAACTTCCACAGGAGAGAAACTTTGATACTTATTCTGAGTCTGACTTATTTCTCTCAACATTATGATCTCTAGCTCCATCCATTTTCTTGCAGATGACATAGTTTCGTTTTTCCTTATGGTGAGTATGTAAGTATACGCCGCATTTTCTTCACCCTTTCATCTGTTCGTGGACACCTCGGCTGATTTCAAATCTCGGCTTTTGTGAACAGGGCTGCAGTAAACGTGAAGTGCAGGTATATATTTGACATACTGGTTTTATTTTCTTTAGATATGTACCCAGCAGTGGGATTGCTGGATCATATGATAGTTCTATTTTAATTTTTTGAGGGACCCCCCCCATTACTGTTTTCCATAATGGCTACACTCATTAACATTCTCATCAACAATGTGTAAAGGATTTTTTCTCCCCCATATGCTCATCAACATTTGTTATCTTTAGTCATTTTTAATAGCTATTTTTAAAAATTTTTATTTGTTCTAATTAGTTATATATGACAGTAGAATGCATTTTGACACATCTACATACATGGAGTATAACTTATTATTCTTCTGGTTTTACCTGATGTAGAGTTACACAGGTCATGTAATCATATATGCAGATAGGGTAATAATGTCTGATTCATTCTACTATCATTCCTTCCCCCAAGCCCCTTTTAATAACCATTCTTTTTAAAAAATTTTATTTATTTATTTTTTAGTTGAACCCAATACCTTTATTTTGTTTATTTATTTTTATGTGGTGTTGAGGCTGGGACCCAGGGCCTTGCACTTGCTAGGCAAGCGCTGTACCACTGAGCAACAACCCCAGCACTTAATAACCATTTTTAGTGACGTGAGGGGATAGCTCATTGTGGTTTTGATTTGCATATCCCTGATGACTAGTGTTGTCAGACATTTTTAAAATACCTGTTGGCCATACTTAAAGTCCTCTTTTAAGAAATGTCTATTCATGTCATTCGCCTGATTTTTTTTTCAAGTTTTAAAACGTTTTAATATTGAAAAGCCAAAAATAAGTGTAAAATGGTAAAGAAATTATATGTTAACATATAAATAGTTCTCATGACTCAGTAAGAAAAAGATAATAMACYGATAGTTAAATTAAAAAAAAGATAAGAAAAGATGATTCACCACAGACATTCCAATTTTAATAAACAGAAGAAAAAGTTCAAATTCACTAGCAATAAATACAAGTCATGGTGATATATATATATATATATATATATATATATAATACATGTATAATATATATACACACACACCTATTATTTAAAAATAAATTTAGTCAAAACAAATAAAATACCTTGTTTTTTTTAATTGATGGACCTTTATTTATTTATTTGTTTATATATGGTGCTGAGAATTGAACCCAGTGCCTTACACATGTTAGACAAGCACTCGACCACTGAGCCACAACCTCAGCCCCTGTCATGTGTTCTTTGTATTTGTCCCCCTGAATACCTTGAATCTGTGAATTACATCTCACCAAATTTCAAAAATTTGATTATTATATTTCAAATAATTTTTTTCCCTTATTCTCTGCTTTCCTTCTGGAAATCTGATTACATGTATGTGTAACCGAAGTGATTGTGCAATCTGCATTTGGGGTAAAAATTGGGAGTTCATAATCCACTTCAATCTAATGTATGAAATATGATATGTCAAGAGCTTTGTAATGTTGTGAACAACCAATAAAAAAAGACCAGAAATCAAAATCAATTCCAAAATGATCCAAACAATGAAATTAGCAGATATATATATATATATATATATATATTTTTTTTTAAGCCAAATTTAAGCCCTGCTCATTGAAATAAAATATGCTAATACTAATAAAAACATAAAGAATCTCAGTAAAAATGTAGAAACCATGAAAAAAGAGTCAAAAGGAAATTCTTGAACTAAAAAAAAAAAAAAAAAGGAATTTTGAAAGTAGAAAGCTCACTCAGTAGCTTTACCAGCAGATTGATCATTCGCCTGATTTTAAATTGAGCTATTTGTTTTCTTGTACTTAAGTTGTCTTTCTTTTGGATTTAATCTCCTATCAGATATATTGTTGGTAAATATTTTCTTCCATTGTATAGATCATGTATTCATTCTGCTTTTTTTTTTTTTCTTTTCCTTTGCTGTACAGAAACTTCTTGGTTTGATATTCTGTTTGTTTTTGCTTTTAACTCCTGTACTTTGGAGGTTTTTTTTTTTTAATCATTGGCTATAATAATGTATTGAGATGTTTCTTCTATATTTTCTACATTTCAGACTTTATTTAGGTCTTCAATCTAATTTGAGTTGATTTTGTTTGTTGATGGTGAGCCTGGAGGTCTAGTTTCATTCATCTGCATATAGCTGGTTTTCTCACACCATTTACTGAGCACTGCTTTGACACCTTTGTCAAAAATTGGTGGGTTATAGATGTGTGGTTTCAAACGGTAGGGTAGTCTGGAAGTGGTGGCACATGCCTTTAATCCCAGTGACTCAGGAAGCTGAGGCAGGTTCAAGGCCAGGATCCCAAGTTWGAGGGCAGCCTCAGCAATTTAGTGAGAACCTTAGCAACTTAGCGAGACATTGATGAAAAAAAAAAAAAAAGACTGGGGATGCAGCATAGTGGTAAAGTGTACCTGAGTTCAATTTTCAGTGAGGTAGAGGGGAGAGAAAAGGTAGTAAAAAGGGAAGTTAGATAAAGGGTACTAAAATACAGTTAAATAGGAGGAATAGATTCTATAATATTCTATACCATGGAAGGGTAGTATAGTCAACAATTGTTATGTATTTTATAGATATCTAGAAGAGAGGAGTTTGAAGTCTCCTAACACAGAGAAATGTTAAATACTTGAGGAGATGGACATGCTAATTACCCTAGTTTGGTCATTATACAAGTTATACTGTATCAAATTATCACATTATACTCCATAAGTACGCACAATTATTACATGTCAATTAAAACTTTTAAAAAATACAGTTTCCCTGGGTCTTTGGAACTTAATATCTGAAGTTTCTTGTATCATTTAAAACTTATATAAATTTGTTATGCAGTCTCAGCCAAAAACCATGTGACAGGTAAGGAAAGGACATAAATTTTTCTCTCCTACTCCAGAAGAGTTAGAAAACTTCTTAACAAAAGAGATTAAGACAATTAATTCTTTTTGTTTTAGCTTTAGAATCTGTGAGAGGTGTTACTTTGACCCTTAGGACTCTAAAGCACAAAATAATAGTTGATTCTATAGAATAAAGAAGCTAAAATGGATTGTAGTTTATGTATAAACTTCAAATGGAGTACATGAATAAGATTTAAAACCAAAATATTATTTGGGCTACCAAAAGTAAATGTTTACCCAGATTTTCAGGGATTCTAGTGTTTTAATCAATGATGTATTTATAAAATCAGTTGCTAACACTTTAACACATTGCAAAGCAATGATAAGTCAAGCAAGTTTTCACTCGTCAGTTCCTAATAATGAAAAGAGATTATACCACCTATCATAATTTGATGACAACTTGTATTTTTTACAGCCCATCATAATAATATTCTGCAAATATTTATCAAAGGTAAAAATGAAAAACTTCCTGGAAATATGAATAATAAAAACAGTAAAAAACTATAAAGTGATATACCAGACATTTTTACATATTTATTTCCTTTTTTACTGTGTATATTTTCATAGTCCATGTGCTGATTTATGATGCAGCCACAACAATGTTTATAGCAGCTCAATTCACAATCGATAAACTATGGAACCAACCACAGTGCCCTGCAACAGATGAATGGATAAAGAAAATATTTTATATATATATATATATATATATATATATATATATATATATATGTTATATATATAAAATAAATATTATACACACACACACACACACACACATGGAATATTACTCAGCCTTAAAGAGGAATGAAATTATGGCATTTGCCAATAAATGGATGGAACTGGAGAATATCATGCTAAGTGAAATACACCAATCCCAAAGAATGAAATGCTGAACATTTTCTCTTATATGTGAATGCTAATTCACAACAAAGGGTGGGGCTATGGAAGAATAGAGTTACTTTGGATTAGACAAAGGGGAGTGAAAGGAAGGAAGGGGATATCGGGGTAAGGAAAGTAGAATAAATCGGACATTATTGCCCTATATGCATATATGATTACACAACCATTGTAATTCTACATCATGTATAACCAGAAAAATGAGAAGTTATACTCCATTTATGTATGATGTGTAAAAATGCATTCTACTGTCATCTATAACTAATTTGAACAAATAAAAAAATAAATCATTGCAGTAAATATTTTGGTGAAAAACAGTTTTGAAGTTGACGATTATGAAGTTCACTAATTTCCTATTTTACATGAACGCTTAAAAATTCCATTATTAAAACATATGTAATTAAATACAAAATTGCTGCTCAATAAAAATACACAAAATTCTTTGATTTCAATGTCTTAAATTAGGGATCAGGAAAATTTTTCTGTAAAGGGAGAGATGTCACATATTTTAGGCTTTGTAGGCTGGTAGGAAAAATTAAGTATGTTTTATAATAGTCCTTACATAATGGGATAGAAAACACATTTTTATTAAATTAAAAATAAGAATAATAATGATTGACTACTATTTTTTGTAATAGAGGCCTACTAACGATTATAATCGAATTCCTATTTTGTAAAGAAGTGTAAAACTATCTTAATTAGTGTTTATAGTTAAGTGTTCTTTATCATCTATGATCTATTGAAATTATCCATCTGTTAATGATGAACATCAATGAAATTTTATGCATTTCATGTTTTTTAAAAAATATTTTTTAATTATAGACGGATGCAATATCTTTATTTTGTTTATTCATTTTT